GAACTTAGTTGAACAGATGTTCTTATTGTATGAATGTGCTTCTTTGGGGTATATGCCTAAGAGTGGAATTGCTGGATCTTGTTGTAGACTGATTCCTATTTTCCCAAGGAATCATTATACTGATTTCCAAAGTGACTACATGAGTTGGCATCCCCACCAGCAGTGGAGGAGTGTTTCCCTTTCTCCCCATCCTCTCCAGCATAAACTGTCATTGGTGTTTTTTTCATTTTGGCCATTCTGACAGGAGTAAGATGGTATCTCAGAGTTGTTTTGATTTGCATTTCCCTGATGTGCACTTTCTCATGTGTCCTTCAGCCATTTAAGATTCCTCTATTTAGAATTGTCTATTTTGTTATGTACCCCATTTTTTTTAATTGGATTGTTTGTTATTTTCGAGAATAGCTTCTTGAGTTCTTTGTATATTTTGGAGATCAGCCCTCTGTCAGATGTGGGGTTGGTGAATATCTTCCCAGTCTATGGGCTGTCGTTTTGTCTTGCTGACTATGTCTTTGCCTTTCAGAAGCTTCTCAGTTTCAGGAGGTCCCATTTATTAATTGTTGATCTCAGTGTCTGTGCTACTGGTGTTATGTTCAGGAAGCAGTCTCCTGTACTGATTAATTCAAGGGTATTTCCCACTTTATCTTCTAGTAGGTGCAGTGTGGCTGGGTTTGTGTTGAGGTCTTTGATCCATTTTGACTTAAGTTTTGTTCAGGGTGAAAGGCTTGGGTCTATCTGTAGTCTTCTACATGTTTGCATCCAGTTATGCAAGCACCATTTGTTGAAGATGTTCTCTTTGTTCCAGCGTATATATTTGGATTGTTTGTCAAAAATCAGGTGTTCATAGTTGTGTGGGTTAATATCAGGGTTTTCAATTATATTCCATTGGTCTACCTGTCTATTTTTGCGCCAATACCAAACTGTTTTCAGGACTATAGCTCTGTAATAGAGCTTAAAGGCAGGGATGATGATGCCTCTGGAAGTTCCTTTATTGTACAGGGTTGTTTTGGCTATCCTGAGTCTTCTGTTTTTCCATACAAAGTTGAGAATTGTTCTTTCAAGGTCTGTGAGAATTGTTCTAGGATTTTGATGGGGATTGCATTGAATTTGTAGATTAGATTGCTTTTGGCAAGATTGCCATTTTTATTATTTTGATGCTACCTATCCAAGAGCATGGGAGATCTTTCCATTTTCTGGTAT